ATGCAAATTTCCTGAACACCGGATCTTGCCTAATGTTGAGACCAGGAAAATAAGTACAGAACAAACACATATAAATCACCTATTTTCACATAAAGAGCAAAAATTCTTAAAAAAGCTGGTCAGAAGTACACAACAACAAACAGGATGGATTCCTTGAATTTTAATGAAACACCAAAATTCACAGCAGGTACAAAAGGGGATGTTTTATTCAGTGCCATTCTTTAGCAGACGAATATTGTGTCTATCGAGAGCATGGTCAATAAGTGCTCCTCCGCTTGTACAAACTTCATCACACATTGAACATTGCCACTTCATTTCTTCATTTTCCACTTCACCTTAAAAAACCTGATGCTTTATTATAGAGATTACTTCATAGTTATGATCCAATTTACCACTACACTTGAATACGTACCCCACAAATTTCTTTAAAAATCTATCAAAATGTTATGAGAAACAAACCATCGACAGGATTTATGGGGCAGGCAGATTTACGATGTTCTCTGAAGTCTTCAAAATCACTGGTTACAAAACGACATCCACCGCATATTAATGTATCAGGCATACCTGCAAAGGATGTACAATGTAAAACCAAAACGCTGAATATTTCCTTAGCTAGACACATAATACTGCAAGTTCAAGTGAACGAGGAAGAGAAAATTATAGAGAAAATTATTTTCCAAACAATTCCAGGATCAGGATTATAACATGGTCATCCCATTTGTGGAATGGTGTGCCCCACCTCATATCCAAAAGCCTTTGGCAGTTTTTTCTTTTGGTACCTTTGATAATTGATATTAGCTTTTTTCCGCGGCACCTAATGTTATTATATTTACCGGTTTCATATAAATTTCGACTTTCCGTGCTATCTGTTGCTGCGGTTTGCCGATTTCGATTGTTCTGCGCTGCCGCCTTCCCATAATCATCAAGACGCTCTTTTTTTGCATTTGCACTGCTACCGGAAAAGTTCTCAGCGCCACGTTTCACCCTGAAGACAAATAAGTAATTAATCTAACAGGATTAGAAAAAACTGAGCAAACTTACCTTCAGAACTTTTCCAAAATGAATTTTACACTGTTTTTATTGAAATCCCAAAATAAATTGCAGAACCAAGAATTTTTGTGACCAAATAAACATGAGTTCAGAAGAAACTGTGTCTTGCAAATTATCAACTAAATTTGGAAGCTCCACGCTTCTCAGTACACACAAAAACTTGCGAGCAAAAACTTACTTTAACTGTACCAGAAAATTTCATAAAAAGCCTTAAATAGAAAACAATCCAGATTTCAAACTGTCTCTTTCGGTTTACAGTAAAAACATTAAATGGAGATGAAGACAACGCCCTGCAAAAAGTCAAAAACAAGAAAAGCCTAAAATGCATTGTGAGGACAAATGCCGCTCTATTCGCTCGACAAAAAAAATTTTTGGAAAAAATACCCGTTAGAGGTTGAAACAGTCGATGTAACGTTGTGCGATTTCATTCCAGCAATGGCGAGCTTCACATCTATGAAAAATTATAAAAAATATGAAAAAAAGCAAAAAAAAATTTCCCGGCATGATGTAACCTACGTAGGTAAGTGGATAAAAATATGGACAATGAAAAACTGGATGGAGTGCAGAAGCGGCTGAAGTTTCCTTTGGTAAAAACTGAGATAAATACAAAAAAAAAAAAGAAAAAAACTACCATGAAAAACAGTCTTATCTGTGGAAGATTTAACAAGTAAATATTTTCAATGCTGCAAGTTTCTATAACCAAGTGTACCTGCAATAAATGACCCTAAAGACAAGCAATATAATGCGAAGGGCATGCGCCACGAAGTTTATGATTACAGAAGCAGCAAATCTGATTTCACCAGCTTACCAAGTATGGAACCATTCCAGCTGTATCCATTAAGCGCGCTTACTGCAAGATCCGCTTCCGTTGAGGTACCATACTGTATAAAAGCATATCCCTTAAAAACCGTGACACCCAAAAGAGTCCCATAAGCGCTAAAAAGTCGGATGATGTCGTCTCGCGTGATGACATTTGTGTTCATATTACCAACGAACACACGAGCCCTAAACAGTGATCACTTAAGCACAGTTTCCAGATATATTTAGCTATTCCATATGTGAGCTTGTGAGGCAAATAATTTTTTTAAACATAATATCGTGATCACTTGTTTATCAGACGGTTCTGTAACCAGAATGTTAGTTAGCATAATTTTTAAGAGAAAAAAGAGATGAATAGACCAAAAAAGAACTAGCGATATCGTGAACTAAAAACGACCGAACTTTCTGCTAATAAAACAAAGGCTAGTCACTGTAATTATAAAAAAACTAATTTGTGCTAATCACCAGTCACGTATATATATATATATATATATATATATATATATATATATATATATATATATATATATATATAGTATA